GCCCCCTAACGCCGCCTCCCGCGCCCCTGCCCCCTCCGCAGCCTCTCTGTGCCGCGCGGAGCCCTGGCGGGGGTCTGCGCCCGTCACCATGACGACGCCGGCGAATGCCCAGAATGCCAGCAAAACGTGGGAACTCAGTCTGTACGAGCTGCACCGGACCCCGCAGGTGACGAGGACCCTCCCGTCCCGGCTTCCTCCATTCCCCGACGGCCGATCCGCAGACCCCACCGGAGGGCTTCTTGTCCGTTCTTTGCCCTATTCTGCCAACCCCGCCCATCTCCAGACTCCCTGGCCCTACCCTGGAGTCGCCTTAATCTTTCTGAAGCACTTCTACGTTTATCTCCTCCAATCCTCGAAACAGACCTGCCACAGAGGTAGACAGTGTACTTTATTTGAAAGATAGTAAACAGGTGCCCAAATCACCTTCTCGGCCCCTCAGTTCAGTGTGACAGGTCAGTGCGTATAAGACGGCATGGAACTTCACGACATCCCGATCCCATACACATACACACACGCACACACACACACGCATACACGCTTCTGAGTCACTAGTGCGGTGGAGCCTCAGAATCTACATTTCTAACACACCCTAGGGGATTCAGAGCTGCTTATTACCAGGACCACACTTTTAAGAAATTTCATCTCCACACCTTATCTCTGTGCCCCACACCCCACCCTAGGCCTCTCACTAAACCTCACATTCTCCTGTTTCAAAGCTCCTTTTAGGTTTTGTTTTTTGTTTTTTGTTTTTTGTTTTTTGTTTTTTTTGGGGGGGGTTGTTTTTTTTTTCCGTTTTTTTTTTCCGTTACCAGGAGTTGAACTCATGACCTTGCGCTTGCCAGGCAGGCGCAGTGCCGCTGAGCTAAATCCCCAGCCCCTAAAGCGCCTCTTTTAGTGGCACCAAATCTTTCTGCTCCTCATTCTCTCCAAGTCAGTGGCCCCTCTAACTCAGTAGTAGTTGCTTTTTCCTCAAGTGGCCAATGTGGGGACCCGGGTTCTGCCATCTCACTATAGTATTTCTCAGAACTCCTCCCCCACTGAATCACTTATTTCTAAATCCCTTTCCCCCAACCACCTCCACCTTTCCCCTCCCTGATGCTCCAGGAAGCCATCATGGATGGTACGGAGATTGCGGTTTCCCCTCGATCGCTGCATTCGGAACTCATGTGCCCCATCTGCCTGGACATGCTGAAGAACACTATGACCACCAAGGAGTGCCTCCACCGCTTCTGCTCCGACTGCATTGTCACAGCCCTGCGGAGCGGGTAATGGGAGGGACATACCTAGGACGGGGAGAAGGGACCTGGGGCTGGTGCCCTCTCACTGTTCCACTCTGGACTATTTGTCTCCTGCCCTAGGAACAAGGAGTGTCCCACCTGCCGGAAAAAACTGGTGTCTAAGAGGTCCCTCCGGCCAGACCCCAATTTTGATGCCCTGATCTCCAAGATCTATCCCAGCCGGGAGGAGTACGAGGCCCACCAAGACCGAGTGCTCATCCGCCTCAGCCGTCTGCACAACCAGCAGGCTCTGAGCTCCAGCATCGAGGAGGGGCTGCGGATGCAGGCCATGCACAGGTGTGGGGTCAGGAGGGGCTGCAGCCGGGCGGGCCGGGCGGGCCGGGCCCCTGGGTCAGACTCCTGGAACTGTCTGCTGTCTGCCACTTCTAAGGCTCAGCATCCCCAGAGCTAGCCACAGCCCAGTGGTTAGGCCTGGAAATCATGGCTGTAGTTGCAGCTTCTTAGGTAAACAGCCGGCATTGTTATTCTTAAGAAGAAAATAGCTGGCCCTCTTAACTCTGTACAGGTTAGAAGAGTAGAATGTCTTCGAGGGTAACCTCCAGTGGTGCTGGAGACTGAATCACTTCTAAGCCAGCATCTCTGTAATGTGTCCAGATGACCCGTGGTTCTTGTTAAAAATGCAGGTTTGATCCAGGAGGTGTAGAGTTGGGCCTGAGAGTATGCATTCTGTGAGCTTTCAGGGGATGCCTATAGAGCTGGCTCTTGGACCACACTTGGAGGGAGAGAACCCATGATCTCAAGCAAGTTTCTCACCTCTCTAAGCCTCTTTCCTCAGCCACAAATAAAATAAGCGATGAACGTTAGGGTGCTTGGCACATCATGAGGTGTCATCATTCAGATCGTGCCAATTTCTTCCTTCTCTGAAGTTCCCAGTCTCAGCCCTCCTCCGTGGTACTTTCTAACTTGAGCCTCTTGCTTCTACAGGGCCCAGCGCGTGAGGCGGCCGATGCCCGGGTCAGATCAGACTACGACGCTGAGCGGGGGAGAAGGAGAGGCCGGGGAGGGAGAAGGGGATGGCGAGGATGTCAGCTCCGATTCGGCTCCTGACTCGGCCCCTGGCCCTGCTCCTAAGCGGCCCCGTGGAGGGGGCGCAGGGGGCAGCAGTGTAGGGACTGGGGGAGGTGGGACTGGTGGCGTGGGTGGGGGTGCTGGTTCTGAAGACTCTGGTGACCGGGGAGGCACCATGGGAGGGGGAACCCTGGGCCCCCCAAGCCCTCCTGGGGCCCCCAGCCCCCCGGAGCCAGGTGGAGAAATTGAGCTGGTGTTCCGGCCCCACCCCCTGCTCGTGGAGAAGGGCGAATACTGCCAGACTAGGTGAGAGCCCGTCTTTGCCCAGACCGCTGAAAAAGCAAAGCGCACAGATTTCCAAAGAAGTGGGCTTCGCCAAACCCCAGAAGCCCTTCTAGAAAGCCCCCTCCCCCGTCCCTTCCCCATGTGAGGCCTCACGTTCCCGCCCCCAGGTACGTGAAGACCACTGGAAATGCCACCGTGGACCACCTCTCCAAGTACTTGGCCCTGCGCATTGCCCTCGAGCGGAGGCAACAGCAAGAGGCGGGCGAGCCCGGAGGGCCCGGCGGGGGTGCCTCTGACACTGGGGGGCCTGACGGGGGCAGTGGGGAGGGCGCGGGTGCCGGAGGAGGCGACGGCCCGGAGGAGCCGGCTCTGCCCAGCCTGGAGGGCGTCAGCGAGAAGCAGTACACCATCTACATCGCCCCCGGAGGTGGCGCGTTCACGGTGAGCTCCTCGAGGGCCCTGGGAGATGGGGACAGGAGGCAAGGGGCCTGGGGCCACCCCAACCTGAGCCTGTCCCCAGCTCAACAGCCCTGGCCCTCCCTCTGCTGGGTCCTCTCTGCCTTCGCTCATGGGTCCCTGCTGTGCTCACCCCGTTATTATTCCCTTTGCTTTCCTCCCCCCTTGGTCATTTTTTTCTCACTCACTTCCTTTTCCGCGTCCGACTTTCTCCCGCCTCTCCCACCCCACCCGCAGACGCTGAATGGCTCGCTGACCCTGGAGCTGGTGAACGAGAAGTTCTGGAAGGTGTCCCGGCCGCTCGAGCTCTGCTATGCCCCCACTAAGGATCCAAAGTAACCCCACCGGGGGCAGCCGGACGATGGGGACCGTGGGGTGTCCCTGTGTCCTGGCCCACCACCCCAGCTCCTTCATCTCCCAGTGCCCCAGACCTGCCCGCCAGCAAGAGGACTCAGTTGAGGATGAGTGGCTTTTATACAAAGTATCTATATCAGATTCTTCTATATTGTACAGAGCAGGGCACGCGCCCCCGCCTGCCACCTTTTCTATCGCCGCCCAACCGCCATCCAGCCCAGGCGAGGAGGGAGGTGAAGAACGCTCCCTCACGCCTTCCTGCCAACAACAAATTCGCTTTTTGCTCCTCTTTGAAACCTGCAGTTCTGTGTGTGTTTGTCAAGGGTGTGCAAGAAGAAAGATCGGGGAGGGAGGCCTAGAAATCAGACTCAGCCTTGGAAATCGGGAGGAGGAAATAGCCAAGGCCATTCACCAAACGGAAGCCCCATTGTTCTGATCCTCCAAGTTGGAGAATATGTACAAAGATAAGAGATTATCTGTGACGCAGGAATAGAGGACAAGGAGTGGAGAGGTGTGAAGTCAGGTGCCCAACTTGTCCCCTAAAAGCAGAGTTGCCCGGCCTGAAATCCAGCTCCCAGTGCCAGAGAGAAAGCCGAAAAAGGAGTCCGGAGTGTGGTGTTTGCAGGGAGCTGCTTCCTTGTCACCAGGAGAACCTGGTTTCTGGGGGGGGAAAGAAGAGGGCGGCAGGTGGGCGGGGCTTCAACCCCCCGCCCCAGCCCGGAATCTTGGCTCGCGAGAGGGGCAGGACTCCACCAGGGATCCCAGGAGCGGGTGAGGTCGCCGTTCTGACCTCTTCCAGGCAGCACAGGGGGAAAGGAGCCAGGTGCGGGTGGCGGGAGGAGCGCCCGGCCGCCAGGGCCTGAGTTCCGCGGTCGGGGCGGGGGCGGGAAGACCAAGCTGCCCACACACCCCGGGGGCGGCTGCACCCTCCACCCACCCCCTGCCCCTCACTTCCGGTTTCCGCTGTCCTGGGTGCTCGAGTCCAGCGCGCCTGGAGCGGGTGAAGCAGCTCGTCCTCACCGCTCTGCAGAGG